TGTTTTGTTCAGATGGATTTTTCAGTGTGTGAGATTTAAACTGACCAACTAAACTAACTAGTTCACCTGGCAGTCCACCCTTGCACTCCTGCTGTATCGTTGTGACATTAAATAGGATTGTGGTTGCTACATTACAAAGAATATAATAAGCCCTTATATACAACTAGAAGCTTATACAAGCCGAAGAATTACTTTTGTTTTAAGGCTGGCTGATAGACACATGCCATGGGAGTGTCAGAACACTTCAACTGAACTTTATTAAACTGAATAGCAGATTGGTTTATCTAAATTGACCTCTCTCTCATTCTCTCTCTCTCTCTCTCTCTCTCTCTCTCCCTTTTAATTGTGGATCATTCAGAAAGGTGTTTTATGATAATTGTTCACAGCTTGTGCTGCTTTATTGATTAAACTGCTGTGAAGCACTAGGTGAAAGTACAGCATAAACATGTGATAGGCTTTTAAGGTTATTGTTATGCTTATAGTCAGATGGCAGAAGTTGTGATAGCTGTTATTGAAAAACAAATGAATGTTTTTAGGAAACTCCAATCACATCACCAGACATTTCACTACTTTCCTCTGAGTAACTAATATTTGTAAAAGTACATTTCAAATTAAATACTATTTTCATTAAATAACTAAATAAAGGAAAACCAATGCTATAAATTCTTATTTTTAGAAAGCTTTATTTCTTCATACTTGAGTTCATGATATGACTATACTAAATGTGTGTACATATCAAGTCTATCATCTAACTATAGATCAAGATGCTTAATTGTATTTATTTTCTTACAGTGAGACATTAAAAAAATTGTGCTGACATGCAATTAAAGTTTCTTAGAAACGACTAGAGAACAAAAGTATGTGACTCTGAGTGACAGCGAGTAGGGCATTTGCCTTGCACTCGGCCAACCCCGCTGACCCAGGTTTGATTCCTCCACCCCTCTCAGAGAGCCCGGCAAGCTATGGAGAGTATCTTGCCCACAGGGCAAAGCCTGACAAGCTACCTGCGATGTATTTGATATGCATACAGTAACAACTGTCACAATGGAGATGTTACTAGACTTGCTTGAGCAAATCAATGAATAATGGGAGGACAGTGACAGTGAATAAAAAATTACAAAGTTCACTGAGTATGAATGAGAAGCCAACAAAAGGATGGAAGGAGTATCACTTAGATTTCATACACCAGTACAGCAAAACCTTGAGAAGGCACGCAAGTCAAATTACTAGGTCTTCAAATAATGCTTTATCACTTTTGATTTCTGTGACCTTATGTTTCTATTTCTGTGTTTATGAAAGAAGATTTCAACTTATATGGTTGCTTTTTGGATTTAATGAATGAATCCAAGTATTTAAAACATTTTTATATTTTGTAAAGTTAGCTTTAGATTTTTATTGTCCACATTTCTCCTCTTTTTTCAATAAAACTTGTTGTGAATACATAGAAAACTCCTCTTTCGGGGTCACAATGAGATAGTAGAAAGACAATTCCTGTCCACCTGGGTATTCAGGCTCATGATGCTATTCGAATGTTAACTTGAATTAAAGTTCAAATTAAAATATTGACAGAAATTTTCCTTTGAGTGAAAAAATATATGTCACTGTGAGCATTGCCAAGTCAATAGATGGTAACTGTGTTGCATATGAATAATGTTGGTGTTTAAAGGAAACATTCATACAGAGTCCCTAAAGCTGATGAATGGAATAATGCTATGACTAGTCAGTATTTTCTTGAGAATTGATGTTATCCTTTGCTTAGTGTTCAGGGATTATGTCCATGTGCCATAAAACTACATTTTGTAACAAATTTCATGTGCAAGTGCGTACATAAGTCAACTAAGAAAGAAATGTTTAATTTTCTCTGGTAGGCAAAGTCTCAGGATACAGCCATTATAGATGAATCTGACCAGCATTAATTATTTGAGCATTATAACATCAATATTCAATTTGCCAATGTTAGGACCCTTCTCAGGAGTGAAATAGCCATGATTTATCTCTCTAGATTAAAAAGGTTGAATGGTATTAACTCATATACATAATTCATTTTAATTAAATGCATATTCTTGGATGTCTTCTTAATGGCTATCCAATGCCTCATTAATCTTAAATGTAACAACCTGAGAACCTTTGGGAGGTCATGTGATAACTCAAAATTCACAAATGTAATGTGCAGAATCCAAGTAGAATGTCCACAAGGCAATCTAGATAGGTTGAGTTTATACAGGCATGATGTTTATTTCCAATGCAGTAATTTCAACCAAATGTTAAGGAGACAAAAGAAACCAACTTAAAGTTTTTTTCTAGCATCACTATTTTCAAAATACTTCTTCAAATAACACTGGGACATCCATATTATTTTTATTTCATTCTATGAGAAAAGTTTGGGGAAATTTTGGATATATTGAGTTAATTCAAATCAATTTATTTCTTCTGTGAAACCGAGGACAGCTGAATATATTATCAATAAGTTCCCCTAAGCAAAGTGTTAGTTTTGATTTTACATATATATTAGTAAAATTTATAACAATGTTTTTTATTATCCCCCAGACTCCACGCCAGGCTGAGTGGGGGATGCGATCCCTCCCTATCCCAAAGGACCCAGTCCTGGCAGCCGACCTCCACTACCCAACCACCGCCATGCTCCAGGCCGCTTTCACATTATAAGACACTTCCTACTCATTTTCCACAATTACTACACAATATCTGATGAGGTTCAGACAGTAGCCAACAAATCATAGAGAAAAATATATAAATATATGGCTCTCGGAGAGCCCAGCAAGCTACCGAGAGTACCCCGCCCACATGGGCAGAGCCTGGCAAGCTCCCCGTGGCATATTTGGTATGCCAAATATAGTAATGACAACAGGTCTCATTCCCCTGACCCTGAAAGAGCCTCCATTTTTTGGGGAAAAGATGAGTAAGAAGAGCCGGCTAAAATCTCAGGGCTACGAGAACAGATGACTGGTTAAAGAAACTTTGGTACATTTACACAATGGAGTACAATGTAGCTGTTAGAAAAGATGAAGTTATGAAATTTACATACAAGTGGTACTACATGGAAAGTATCATGTTAAGCGAAATGAGTCAGAAAGAGCGGGATAGACACAGAAAGATTGCATTCATCTGGGGAACATAAAGCAACAAAACGGGAGACTAACACCCAGGAATGGCTCAGATTAGTACCAGGAATTTTGCTCCATGACTTGAAGGCCAGCCACATGTGCTAGGTGAGAAGGAAGCTCAGATAGAGAAGAGAGCACCAAATAAAGGGTGTTGTGAAGACCCTCCCAGGGTGGGAGAGACATGCTAAAAGTAGTCTATAGACCAAACATGATTGCCACTCAATGCCTCTCTGGCAAAACACAGTACCCAAAAGAAGAGAGAGAGAACAAGGGGGAATGCCCTGTCACAGAGGCAGGGTGGGACGGGGGGGGGGGGGATGGGAGGTGGGAGGGATGCTAGGACCCGTGGTGGGGGAGGATGGGCACTGGTGGAGGGATGGGTACTTGATCATTGTATAACTGAAACCCAAGCACAAAAATTTATAAGTCTATAAATGTACTTCATGGTGTTTCACTAATAAAAAAAAATGATTAAATAAAAAAAACAAAAAATATAAAAAAATAAAATAAATTTATCTTCATCTTAAAAAAAATCTCAGGGCTATCAGGAATAGAGACATTACTGGCACCCACTCAAATAATTTGACAATCAATGGGACGACAGTGATAGTGATACAATGATATTATTTCCCTTAATTATTTTTTTTTGTTACTGGCCTTAAATTTTCCAATAAACTAATATTTGACATTTTTATTTTCTGCTTCTACTTTATTGGTTTTTACTATAATTTAATTACTTAAAAGTTTTTAATTATTTTTGTATTAATTGTTAATTTTTACTTCTTAAGGTACTTAAGGTATAAAATTCAAACTTAATATCTATTTCTTCCTTTTAACCAGCAATTCGTGTGTTTTTGGTTTATGTGTGTGTATGTGTGTGTGTATATACTACAATTCTGTTGTATTTGACTCTCTATTCTATAATGAGACTAATTCTCCACTTAAAAATAGCTCCAATGTTGAGTGATGATAACATAATACAAACAAAAAATGAATAAAGTCTTATTACACATGTATCAAGATTTTCTGGAGAGAGAACAACAGTGGCACACGGCTTTTAGGTTTTCCTTTGTTTGTTTTTGTTTTAGTTTTTAATTAAAACTAAACAGTAGGTCTGAAAATAGTTTCTCCATATACAAGTGGCCTGAGTGTGGACAGTTTGGATGGCCCTGCCATGCCATGTTAAAATGAGGGGGAACTTTCTTATCTTGTTCTGATGTGGTAAAGGTAAAGGTAAAGGCCCTCCCGTTGTTCATCAATTTGCTTGAGCAGGCCCAGTAACATTGTGAGACTTGTTACTATGTTTGGCATATCAAATACATCATGGGTAGCTTGCCAGGCTTTGCCGTGTGGGCGAGATACTCTCAATAGCTTGCCGGTCTCTCCGAGAGGGGCGGAGGAATCGAACTCGGGTCGGCCATGTTGGCTGCGTGCAAGGCAAACGCCCTACCGCTGTGCTATCGCTCCAGCCCTGATGTGGTATGAAAGAGAAAGTCCAAGTGTAGTCTTGTGTCACATGGACACATATTTTAATGGTTATGTGCATTGGCAATGTAAGAACACCAGCTCACGAGAAGACAGGTGCCTTCTTTGAGAAAAAAAATGATATCTCAGCTCATGAAAATTCGGGGCTAACAGACAGAGTGTGACCCCACTGATCCAAGAGAGAGGGTTATATCAGTCAAAAGCAGCATCTACTTGTTTAAGACCAGTGGCATGGCAGAATAAGTAAGAACTGATAAAACTTGAGTGTGAGAGGCCTTGACTAAATCAAAATCATGTCCCAATAACATGTCTAAAATTGCATAAATAGTCCTAAATAGTATGTATTTGGGATATCAGATTGTCTCTCGCTGAGATTTTTTTCTTTTAACTGTAACCATTCAGACTGCATCCTCGCCTTCCACTCTTTCAAAGGAAGAGAAGAAAGATCATTTATGGTAAAAGGCAGTTGCCAAAGTTACACCAGAACTGGCTTCATGCTCAGGAGAGGATGCTCTAGCTCCGACTGGTGGTTTCAGGGGGTCCACAGGATCAGAGAAACTTCTCTAATAATGAAGTATAGAAGTGACTTCTGATGATTCTTGAAAGTATAGTCTTTTGCTTTACTTATTTATTTTTTGACACCACATCTATGACTCAAAGCATTCTTTAGCTAGGACTTCTGAAGGCTTGTTTAAGCAAAGTGAAGTCCATTCAAGAAAGGTCACTTGCTGGGAATCCTCAGTCACGCCTGTCTTGATTAGCAAACCAGCTCACCCAAACTTGTCTTCATGGCTTTTATACATTCTTTCACCCTTCACTGCTAATTGATTGTATGTTGGAAACGTGATGTGGACTCCCCCTAATAAAACCATATTGTAATTATCTTACAATTGAATTGAATCATAAAATGAAACCTCCCACTTCTCAGAGAAGGATCACTGGAGGATCTGAATCTGATTTTACAGCTTCCTATCTGTCAGTAGTTGAGCACTACCGTCTTTAGAACAACCACATCTATCTCAGTTTGCTAATTTTATATTGTTTTTCCTTACAATTTGGTAAAGGTTGCTTTATTAGATCTGTATATGGATGAGTTACTGAAAATCAGATTTAAGTTTCCAAATTTGGTATTTTCTTGATCTTTTCATTTAATTAAAAATATAAATGAATACTACTATAATGAGAAAGCAAAAAAAATGCATGCTTTAGAAGTCTGAAGTACAGAGATGTGTTTTATAGAGCACAATATGATATGAGTAAATTTGAAAGCAGTGTATATTTTTATGATGATTGGTGTAGTTTTATTTATCTGTGAGTTAGGTTGAGGATGTTAGTTATGCTCAAGTATTCTTCATCCTTAATAGTACTTATTTAGTATCAATTACTGTCAAGAGAATGTTTAAAATGTCAATATTAGTGTGAAAATATCTGTTGTCTCTGTTCTTCAATTTTTGCTTCATGAAATTGAATCTTTATTTAGTTTCTTGATCACTTGACTTCCCGTTAATCGTTGATTTGATCGAGCGGGCACCAGTAACGTCTCCATGTGTCCCTGTCACATACTAGTGTAGCCCAATGGTGTCTGTTAGTTCTAGGAACATGAAGAGCCTCGAACCGATCGTTCATGATCTTGATGAAGAAGTCTGACCATCTGATAGGTTGGCGGCCATGCAGTCTTTTGACATCCCGTGGAATCCAGTCGGTAACAGCTCTAGTCCAGCAGTTATCTCTAAATCTCATTACGTGACCAGCCCATCTGAGTTTTGACGCCTTGGCAAACGAGACAGCGTCCCTGATTCTTGATCGTCGGCAGAGGTCGAAACTACAGATTCTTTCTCTCATTAGAGTGAAACGTGATACTCCAAGCATAGCTCTTTCAATTCGTCTTTGGGAGACAGGAATAGCATTCTCATCCTGTTTGCATTGGGTCCAGGTCTTTGAGGCATATGTTAATGCAGGAAGAACAGTGGAATCAAAGAGTTGTGCCCAGAGCCGAAGGTTCTTCGTCCTCAGCTATTTCTTCGACGCTCTTGAAGGCGTCTAAGCTGCTCTCTTCCTCCTGCGCAGCTTTGGTGCCAGGTCATTTGTCATGTTGACTTCTCAACCTAGGTATACATAACTGTTGCATTCAGAGATGGTCATTCCGTTGAAAGAGAATGGAGCGTCAGGAACGAGGCTGTTTCTCATAAACATTGTCTTCATAAGATTCAGCTGTAGTCCAACATTTCCACACTCACCGTCGAAGTTGGCCTGCATTTGTGCCGCTTGGCTAATGTTTGCTGTTATTAAAACAATGTCATCAGCAAAGCGGAGGTGGAGTAGTTGCCGACCATTTATCTTCATTCCCATTTTTTCCCATTCCAGTCATCGCATGATGTTCTCAACGGCGGCACTGAAGAGGTTCAGTGAAATGGTATCACCCTGCTGAACCCCTCTCTTGACGTCAGTGATTACTTCTTCATAGAATGGTGAATCCTGGTAGTGATACCATAATACAGCTCACAGAGGATCCTGATGTATTGAGTTTGAATGCCCTGATTGGCTAGGGCTTCAATGACCACTTCTGTCTCAGCAGAATCAAAGGCCTTCTTTAAATCAATGAACGTTAGACAGAGCAGCATCTTGAACTCCCAAGAAACCTCAATGAGCTTGGTTATCATGTGGATATGGTCGATGGTGCTGAATCCTTTGCAGAACCCGGCTTGCTCGCATGGTTTTCCTTCATCCAGTGTTCTGCCAATCCTATTCAGGATTGACTACCTCCACTACCCAGCCGCCGCCACACTCCAGGACGCTTTCCGGACGCTCCGGTCAAGACTTATGCACGACTGAAGCCCCACAGAACAAGATTAGCGGAACTCTGAGACCTTGGACTCCAGGCTCAACGGACCCAGACCTGGGGACAGAGATACTCTGCTTGCTCCCACCAACCACAGGTGACGAAGAGATTAAAATCAAGAGCCCAATCCTACCGTGCCCTGTCTGCTTCCACCAACCACCAGAGACCCAGGGATTGGATTGTGCACAGAACACCCACCCTACCCCTACCTGTACCAGATAAATACCTCCCTGGCAAACCTACACTACCTCTACTACCTCCACTACCCAGCCACCGCCACGCTCCAGGATGCTTTCTGGACCGCGCCGCCACATTATAAGACACTACGTACCCATCTTCCAGAATTACCATACCATATTTGATAGGATTCAAAAATGGTTTGAACCATGGTAACACCAACAAGGGCGATTAGAGGCCACCCCAAAAGCCTCTATCCCTCTCAGAGAGGCTGGCAAGCTACCGAGAGTATTCCGCCCACACGGCAGAGCCTCTCAAGCTATCTGTTGTGTATTCGATATGCCAAAAGCACTAATTACAATTTAGTTTCTTATTGGTGGTTTATACACATTGAGATATCAGCATGTATGTCGTGCGTAATATTTGCTGTTGAAGGGTTTTATTTCTTTAGAAATTGGTGGGAATTGAGTGGAGATTACTTAGCTTCCTCTCAGTTGGCAAAATCTTTTTTTTTTTTTTGGTGTTTCTAAGTTGAGAAGTTCATTTTTTGGATCACACCTGGGCTTACTTCTGGCTCTGCACTCAGGGATCACTCCTGGCTGACTCAGGGGACCATATGGAATACCGGGGTTTGAACCCAGGTTTGCCACATACTATACAAGCATCTAAGTCACTGTATTATCACTCTAGCCCTAGGTTTTAAGATAAATATATCTTTCCTATGTGTACATTGGATCATTATGCCATTATGAAATGCTTCTTTATTTCTGGTGATCAGCACTTTCTCTCTTACATTTCTTGTAACTTCATATTTATATCTAGATTGTTCTTGATTTCAGGACTAGTAAAGTGATATGTCAGTGTGTATGTGGTAGGTAGTGTTTGCTATTGAAGGGTTTTATTTCTTTAGAAATTGGTGGGAATTGAGTGGAGATTACTTAGCTTCCTCTCAGCTGGCTAAAACTTTTTTTTTTTGGTGTTTCTAAGTTGAGAAATTCAGTGCCATTATTTGCTTTATTTTTTTCCCCCTTTGTTTGTCTTTTTTCCTCTCTCTAGTATTAAATTTGTGCTGTTATACTTTTTGATTGTTTTTTTTCTTTTTGGGTCATATCCAATGATTCTCAGGGATCACTTCTGGCTCTGCACTCAGGAATCACTCCTGGTGGTGCTTGGGGATTGGGATGCTGGGGATTAAACATGGGTCGGATGCAAGGCAAATGCCCTACCCACTGCACTATCTCTCCGGTCCTACTTTTTGATATATTTTTCCCTCAGTTCTGACATGTTCTTCTTTTTTCTTTCTTCATTTTGACTTCTTATATTTTAGTTTGACCTATTTCTCTCATTTTGTCTTTAGTTACACTGATTCTTTCCTTAGCTTTTTATGTCTGTCAAATACATGTTTTATAAGTTATGTGATTTTTTATTGCTAGCATTTCTTTTTGATTTGTTTTAGCATTTCTAGTTTTTATGCTGCCATCTATTTAGTTTTGTTTTCTATATACCTGAGCCATTAGAAGTCTTAATATATTAATAAAATTATTTAAATGATATATGATTTTATAGGGCTGTAGTGGTAGCAGAGTGGGTAGAACATTTGCCTTGCAGGCAGCCTACCTGGGTTTGATTCCTCCATCCCTCTCAGAGAGCCTGGCAACCTACCAAGAGTATCCCGCCTGCATGGCAGAGCCTGGCAAGCTTCCTGTGGCATATTCGATATGCCAAAAACAGTAACAACAAGTCTCAAAATGGAGATATTTCTGGTGCCCGCTTGAGCAAATCGATGAACAATTGGGAGGACAGTGCTACAGTGCATGATTTTATAATTCCAACATCTGCTTCAAACCAAGTTGTCATTTGTAATATTATTTTCTCTCAGAATGTGTTTTAGCTTGCCTTTTAAAAGTACTTGGAATTTTTTGTTGGAAGTTGACATGCTGTATTAGGTAACAGAAACAGAAATTAATAGACCCTGTGTCTGAGGATTTTGTTTTTCTATTTGTTTATGTTTTTCTACTTATGTTATTCTATAGGAATATTATTGTGTTTAATGTTCAGGGACATTATGCGTATTAGGGTTTTCTACTTTCTCTAGTGCTTTTACTTTGTTTTGTTGTTTGGGGGGAATTCCTTTGCATTCTTCCTCAGAGAAATTTGTCTGATAGCTCCTCAGCAGTTAAGCTTTATCAGTTGCTGCAAAACTGTTGTTGATGTTCTAATGGTAAAGCAAGGTTACTTTATTCTTTTCTTATTACATCTAATTTGTTTTTTTTTGCAGGCCTCTGTGACCCAGATATGACCTTCACAAGACTCTTATATAGCATAGCTTTTTGTCCTCCTACCTTCTATTCCTTTCTTAATGGGAATTTCCTTCCTGATGGAGAAGTCCTTAAGTATGATTCATTGTCTCTTCTCTCTTTCTTCCCTACAAGAGCCCCAGGGGAAAGGTGGTTGATCTTCACTGTGAGAAGATTATGGGGTTTCTGGGAAAAAAATTAAACTAGTGTCCTCTCCTCCAGGACTGTGGACCATGGGGGCTTCTTGCTCTATACTAGTCCATAATCAGTGTCCATAATTAATCTCCACGCATTAATTCTAG